GAACACCGCTATAGTGGGGAAGTGACTGCAAATTTTCATCACAAAGCTCGCAAGCGATTGTCGCATAGTTTCTCCAAAGCTAGAAAGTTGAACCAGAAGCCTGACTGGTTGCTTCAAAATTTATGGGAGGATTTGCAAAGGCAATGGATTACTGCAAAGTTCTTAGATAAGAGAGAAAAAGGAAAGAAAGCTCGCGCATCTGAGAAGGGAGGCTCCTTGCACACCGGAGGTGCGATCAGCTTAGGGACAATAAAAAGAAGATTGGTACGTAATTGCTTAATTTATTTTATTTTCAAAGTATATCTATTCTGTTTATTAACTAAATTTTATGAGTTTTCACGAAAAGAAGTTGGGGCGTCCAATGACCAAGATGAGCTATTCAAGGAGACTCATATCGTAAAGAAAAAGAAAGACACAGATCAAGAAAGGTGGGTAGAGAACCGGGCATCAACTGTATATGTAAGCTTTCACTTTTCTTTAAGTATTTTAATTTACTTTTATATAAATTTTGAAAATACTAATTCAATTTAAATTTTCGTATAGGATCACTACCAAACTAACGTAGAGGAGTTCATCCGCACTCAGCCAACTGGTGAATCGGGTGAGCCAATCCAACCTTCGGACGAGAATGCTGAAAGAATATGGATGGAGTCTGCTGGCGGTCCAAAATGGGGGAAGGTATACGGTCTTCCTACTAAAAAGTTCCATCGCTATAAGTGTGGAATGCAAGGAATAGGGACTTCTTCGCAAGGCGAGCAACTTGATGGGGAGAGCCTCTCCGCTATGCGGGAGACTGTGACAAAGCTCACATCCGAGCTAGAAACGACCAAGGAAAGAGAAAAGCTTAGAGATGCTCAGTACATTGGCATGCAAGCTCAGTACCATGGCATGCAAGAGCATCACAAAACTCTCCTAGCTTCTGGATCTTTTCGGATTCCCCGGTCTCGTGAGTCATCGCCAAAAGCTCGACTTGAATGTGAGCGTTCCTTCCGTCCTCCCTGTGCTCGTTCCTCCCATCCTCCCCGTGATCGTTCTTCCCATCCTCGACAAGTAGACCCTTCTCTATACCGTCTTGTTGATGAAAATTCATCAGACGGTGATGATAATGATGTTGTACAAAACACTCCTTGACTTTTATATACTTTGAACTAGACAAATAGAACCGGTTTGAACTAGTTGTAATAAGCGTTAACTTAGTTTTGTTAGTTTAATTTGTAAGTTCTATTGAACTTTAATTTTTTGGTTTTAATGTATTTTTTGAATTGTGTTGTTGTTGTTGTTGTGTTGTTGTGGAGATTTTGATATTGAAATTGTAGTTTATGAATTAAATTATATTGTTATTTAGGGATTTTGGTATGTTGGCAGGTGGTGTAGCTACCAAATGCCAAAATTATTACCCAGAAAAGCGACTAAAGTTGGTCGCTTACCTATTAAAAAAAAATTCTGGCAATTAGTGACTAAGGTTGGTCGCTTATATCTAAAAAAAATTAAAAATTAAAAATTGGCGACCAAGGTTGGTCACTAATGAACCCAGATTTTATTAAAAAAATATCCTGGAAATTAACGACCAAGGTTGGTCGCTTATGTATAAAAAAATTAAAAAATTAAAAATAAGCGACCAAAGTTGGTCGCTTATGAACCCAGATTGCTAAACATATATTTTTAAAAATAATATATATTTTAATTTACAGACCAGCGTTGGTCGCTAATTTTTGAATTATAATAATTTAAAAAATATCGAAATTAAGTATACAGACCAACGTTGGTCGCTAAATTTATATTATTAAAATATTATACCGACCAAAGTTGGTCGGTATTTTGTTTACAGTGAACATTTGATCATTTTACCTTCGCGACCAAAGTTGGTCGCTAACCACCAATATAGCTACCAAACCTGTTTGGATGCATTTTGGTCGGTATATTGAGATAAGCGACCAATGTTGGTCGCTGTATGTGGTCGCTTTTTACCGAATTTCTAGTAGTGCTAGATAAAGCTGAAATGTGCAATATAAAAACACCAACTACAATTGAACTAGGATAAAAGATAGACACTTGGAACTGGTTCTTCTATATGGTTCATGTAGCTTCAAGTTTGCACACTTAATCTCACACGAACTGCTTGCAAAATGCCTTGCTATTTTGCTCTCAATTCACGTTTAACTTCTGCTTTTGTGCATACCTGTAAAATGAAAACATCCTGCAATTTATAGAGTTAGTAGAATAGAAAACAACTAGAGTTCTAATACTACTCTTCCTTAGTGGAAGAGTTCTAGTTGATCTCAACTTCTAACTCCTCCCTTATCTTGGATAGTGTTCTCTTTGATTAAGGAATCCTTCTACTTATCAGTTATACAACATTTTTCATTAGGAGATATCAATTATACCAAGTTGAGCTTATCTCCTTCACGTACATTCCACTTGCTCGAATCTGCTCATGTCTATGCACACAAGGGATGTACATGATTCATGCATGAGATTCCTTTGTCAATCTTCAAAACAAGACTTCACTTGGGCGAACAAGATTCTCTCTTTGTTATTAGATACAACCACACAAATATTATAAAATATTGAAGATATAACCTCATTTATCAAAGACCTTTAAAAACAAAACAACTACGCTTATATGGACCACCGTCAACCTAGAAGACCTTGATCTTTGATAAGCTAAGAAAGGCCATAAGAATATACTTCGTAGGGATAAGAATGAACTACTTTGTGGGGCTGATGACTACTATTCCATCCGTTCCAGTTTATGTGAACTTATTTCTTTTTTGGTCTGTTTCAAAAAGAATGACCCCCTTCTAAATTTGGAAACAATTTAGCTTAAACTCCCAATTCTACCCTTAATGAGAAGCTTTTATAACCACACAAATATTCTGGGCCCCTTTTTAATTTGTTTAGGACCACTTATTCTAAAAGTCTTCATTTTTTTTTAAACTTCGTGCCCATTCAAACAAGTTCACATAAATTAAAACAGAGGGGGTATGATTTATGGATTTTTGACGAGTTCCAGAACCACGAGCGGGAAAACGGCATAGGAGAAACCATATATTCAAAGAACGCAAACGTTTTAAACTATACAATGCTTAGGCTACTAGATGGACACAAGTTTCAAATATCTACCAAGAGTGTTGGCTGCTGGTTCGATTGAATTCGGTAGTTTTGGTTCAACCCTGTATTTTTTTTTTTACATAATCGTCTACTCATTCGCTTAAATTTAAAAGAAAGAATTGCGTATTTAATCACTTGGCACAACAACCCAACTAAAAATGGCCTAGGTTTAAAGTCTTTACCCGGTTTGGCCCAGGTTGTATATAATTTGAAAGAAACTTTTCAGTCTTTAACCCATTATTAAAGACATATTTCTAGGGTTTTTTCCTTTTCTTCTTTCCCATCATACTCGATCTCTCTTCACTCGCCTCTCTCTTCGTTCTCCCTAAAAACTACATAACTTTTTTGTACATACTCGCGATAATCCTCGCATTCTATGTCAATTAGATTTCGATTTTTGAGTTAATTGACAAAAAGAGGTTAAGGAACCACAATAAATTTGGCATATCAGTCCAAAACTATCAGATCTGGCCTAAAACTATTAGACCTTGCCTAAAAGAGCATCTCCGGCAACCTCGTCTCATATTTTCTTATTTCTCTTAGTTTTGTTTCATCCTTTGCTACTGGTGAAGCCCAAATTTGAATGCCAAAATCTCGCCGCAAAATTCAACACCAGCAATCACCGAAAACTGTAATGTGGTGATGGACAGAATGTGTTTTCTATTGTAAATTTATATAGGTAGTGTTTATACACACTTATACAATATTGTATAAATATGTTTAAGTGTGTATATATGCGTACAACGTTGTATAAATTAGATATATTTTTAATATATAAGTGTGTATATACATTGTACGTGTATAATAGGCATCCATGGATGTTTGACACTTTCTTCTTTTTTTCTTCTTTGTCTTATTTTTCTGATATACATTATTAGAGGTTGTATATACAAGTTTATACAAAGTTATACATCATTATACATGTTATGCACATGTGTAGTTAAATCTAAAATTAAAAATTTATATGTTCAATCTATGTTTAAATCGACTTTTCTTGTTGATTTATTTGCAAAATCATGAACGTGCAATAGTTTTTTCAATTTTTATTTTTTATTTATGCTATTTGGAACTTGAAAAAGAAGAAAATTTAAAGTTTTCAAGTTGCATTATATATGAATTTAAATTTTTTGTATCTGGAATAGGAATATATAAAAACTTGAGGAAGAAGAATAAAAAATTATCGAATTTCCGTGCTTGAAGATATGCAGAATAAAAAAGAAAAGAAAAATATGCTTATATTTCAAACTTTTGCCTATTGTTAATGGGCTACAGATTTATAAAGTTGTAACTGAGTTATTCTGCTGCAATGTATATAGGTGGACTGTATTTTTGTGTAATTCTCCCAATTTAAACTGGCCAGTGAATAAATAATTCATGTTGTGAGTTCGAGTCTTCCCAAGAGCAAGGTGAGAAGTTCTTGGAGGGAAGGATGCCGGTGGTTTATTTGTAAACAGCCTCTCCACCCCAGGGTAGGGGTAAGGTCTGCGTACACACTACCCTCCCTAGACCCCACTAAGTGGGATTATACTAGGTTGTTGTTGTTGTTGTTATATAGTATAGGTATGATATTGTATAATCAATAGTAACGAAAAAGTAAATAATATATTCGGCCAAATATTTATGTAAAGATTCAAAATAAACCTCGTATTTTTCTTTTTTTTACTTTGGTTCTCATTTCTTTAACTTTTCTTTAACCCACAAATATATTACTAGTAGTTTAATAGAATTGTCCTACCATATCATCTCTTGGCTTTTGAATTGTGAAATTCCAACGTACTTGTGAAAGCTATTTGTGAATATTTATCGCAAAAGAACATTCTAATCCAACGGTTCATATTCAAAGTAGTCATGATCCCTAAACAGTGGCGGTGGTAGACTTAACAGCTCAGTGAGCAGCTTCTCGTAACTCCTTTTTATCCATAATATAACTCTCGAGCTTTCTTCATTTCTATCAAAGATTAAAGCTTTTTACTCAATTAGGTCACCATATAATATAATAATGGCTTCAATTCAAACTTCAATGGGTTTTTCCCGTCTGCGGTTAGTTTTCTTGAACACCCTTTTTCTTAATTGTTCCAAAAATATCAAGATCACTGGAATTTTGCTGTATTTTGGCCATTTTATATAACCCCATTTCTTTTTTTATTATATTTAATTCCAAGAGTTTTCTAAAGTTTGTTCCTTTATTGTATATTTGTTTGTGAGTGAATATGCTGGCTATGGAAAATGTGCTTATGTAGAAAATTTATGATAAAAAGATGGAATCTTTTGTTGTGACTGGTTATGCCTCGCTTTAACAATAACACGATTAAAGAAATGAGTACATTTTTAGAATGGTAATGATATATTTAGCTGCCATGTATCGAGGAGGTCACGGGTTTGAGCCGTGGAAATAGCTTCTTGCAGAAATGTAGGGGTGAGACTGTGTACGATAGAAGTGGTCTGGCCCTTCCCCAGACCCCGAGCATAGCGGGAGCTTAGTGCACCGGGCTGCCCTTTTTAATGATATATTTAGCGAATGACAATTATGGAAGTAGGATGGTTTGAAATGCAGAACAGACAAATTCTGTATGCTTTTGGATAAAATATGAGGATAGAGTTTATTTATTTATTGAAGGAGACAGGGTTTGAATATATTGAAGCAGAAAAAACCACATTACAAAGAATTTACAGCTATACTGTTGTACTTATTCTTTGAGCTGTCATTGATGCAGATTATTATATACAAGGACAAGCTCATTTTTATATTGTTTTTGTCAATGATACCAAAGACGAAATGAGTAGAAAACCTGCAAAGGTTAATTTGGGTTTAAGCGCAACTTGCAATTAAAGTGCCTCATTTAGTGTAGAAAGGTGCAAATGAAGAGAGTGTGTGTACACACAGATATGCTGCACTGAGCTTCAGGTCAAATCCTCTGCTGCAATTATCGCTGTGGAGCCTACACTGAAGTGCGGATTAAGCTAAGCGAGGTGCCAATCCCATGCTGCACAAGTGCACTGAAGATTGGTGGAACTTTAAGACTAGCTGCAGTAATGAAGTCGAGGATGCATTAGAATAATCTAGCTTGAGTTGTACGAATGTGACAGCGCAGTATTGCAGTACAGGAATCAGACTTTGGTAGAAAGTGATTCATTGACTTGCATTTTGTTATATCAAAGGTCAAGGTGTTTGTGAGTTCATTGGGTGTCTTATTTCTTAACATGTCGATGTTACCACCCAATTTAAGCTGGTATGTCCTTACAAGATAAAGAAGCTGGAAACCACTCATATTGATGGAGCTTCATTTCCATAGTGGTTAGAGTTGTGAACATCCTAGAGTGAAAAAGCACATATCTTGAGTAATTTGCGATCATTTTTATGCTCACCTTACTTGTTAGGTACCTTTGATTTCTATCTCTTTTGGAGTTATCAGAAGATTTACTCAGTTAGACTTGTAAATCAATATGTGACTTGCCATGTCGAAAGGTCCCAAGATTTTTGCCAAGAAATAAGATGTTAAGGATGTATATTGAATTCAATCATACAAGATTAGATTGAAATTTGAATAATGATTGAAGGTATTATATGCCGTGTTGGGATAAGTTTGAGATTTAGAGGATTCTATTTTAGGAGTACTCTTAAGTATCCTAAAAGACAAATTGTTGAATATTGGATCGGAACAAGCCCAAATGAAGTGAAATGGATATGGAGATCCTTATAGCCAAGGCAAACTAGCTTGTGATTGAGGTATAGATGTTGTCACTTAAATATGGTCTGGAACTAGGGGTCCAAAAACGACACCTCTCCCCATATTGCTGTCCAACTTCTAGAGTTTAGGTTACACACTTCAATTTGTGTAGGTCTGCAAATTTTGAGTGTGGATTCCAAGTTGTGTTGTCAAGCTGACAACTTCAATTTGCTCCACATGCGTGTAAAGTTCCTGAGATGACTGGTATTGCAAAACTTTTGGTTAGAGGATTATTGAAGCAGACTTGCCAAAACTTGCAATAATCATGTAGAGATTAGCAAGTTTTCGATTTGTGATGAGATAATTTTGTGTTCAGTGATATAAATATGTTTATTCAGGGGTTCCTAAAAGTTTTAGCTCTGGTGGTTTTTCCCGTTATACATTGTTTTGTGTGGTGCTTATATGGAAATGATCATTTTTACTTGATAAATGGAGAAAAGGAACTTCCTAGAAATTGAATATTTTAGCTCATATAACAAATCAAGTATTTTACCTCTGGCTTGCCATTTTGTCTTCTAGTATCAGGCTTCAGGTATAATTTTTTTTTCATGTTCTCCTTCTTATTAGATCCTACCATGCTCTATATTTTCTCAATCCAACTACAGCAAACTACAAATCAGATTTATCATCGCTAAGTTTGGCTAGAAAGTTGCCCTTCAGCTTCAAAAGTGGCGGCAAAATACTAAGGGCTACATTAATATCAGGAGAAGACAATGTTTGGTCTTGTTATAGCAACCGAGGTGCAGAAAATGGTTCTTTTGTTAATCATGGAGCTGGAATTCAACAACAACCTGATACAATAGCTGTCGGAACACCAACCGCCGAAATAACTCCAAACAGAAGTGGGTTTCTCTCTGGTGATGATGAATTTGACCTCGATCATACTGCTGAAGGATTCTCTTCTATTCCCGAGGCTATTGAAGACATTCGTCAAGGCAAGGTTGGTTAATACCCCCCCCCCCCCCCCCCCCCCCCCCCCCCCCCCCCCCCCCCCCCAAACCAAAAAAAAAAAACACCGCGTGCCTCTATTTGTGGAGGAAACTTCAAAACTTATACTTTCATCTCTTAGTAATTTGGAAAAGACTTGCAGATGGTGATTGTTGTAGATGATGAAGACAGAGAAAATGAGGGTGATCTAATAATGGCGGCAGAATTAGCGACACCTGAAGCAATGGCCTTCATTGTAAAACATGGAACTGGAATTGTGTGTGCAAGTATGAAAGGTGAAGATCTAGACAGGCTTCAACTTCCACTGATGGTGCCACCGAAAGAAAATGAGGAGAAACTCTCTACTGCTTTCACTGTTTCTGTGGTATGTCCACTGCTTTTTCTTTATAGTTCTAGAAGCTACTATCCGGCCCGAGAAACAAGATTACTTTTATATCTGTGATTAGTTTCCTCAGCACCAATCTTTTAGTAAGAGTATGATGCTGATTGTGTGAGGTCGATGTTCATTAGAATCTATGATTGTTCTTGGGCTGGTCCAAAAGTAATGTTTGTCATATATCGAAGTTAAATACATGTTGGAAACATCGTCCAATAGCTGCTGTTCTGTTGGATATATTTATGATCAGTTAAACAGTGGCTGAGAGCAGTTATTTTCCAATCATATTACTTTGCTATTTTGGCTTGAAAATCTTTTGTTCACTTGTCCTGGTAGCAGCTCGTAATTTGGTTGAGTTGCTCTGTGTTCATAACCATAGGGCATGTTGCTTTGCTATTTATTTTGTGTCGCCATCTCAAATTTGTCCCAGCCATTGACACATATTAGTTGGATATGATATATAGGATGCAAAATATGGTACCACTACAGGTGTATCCGCTCGTGATAGGGCAAAAACAGTATTGGCTCTGGCATCCAAAGATTCAAGACCTGAGGATTTCAACCGGCCTGGCCATATTTTCCCACTCAAGTATAGAGAAGGAGGGGTGCTTAAAAGAGCTGGCCATACTGAAGCTTCTGTTGATCTTGCTGTTTTGGCTGGGTTGGACCCCGTTGCTGTTCTTTGTGAAATAGTGGATGACGATGGTTCCATGGCCAGGTTGCCGAGGCTTCGGCAATTTGCTGAGGTTGAGAACCTAAAAATTATATCCATTGCCGATTTGATCAGGTAAAGACTTGATAAATGCAAAATTAGATTTAACAGCTTTCATATTTCAGAAACTACATAGAGAGAACTATATACTGGAATTTCTAAAAATTTAAAATTATTTATAACTTTTTTAGAAAATCGTGATTAAGGAAAAGGTTCTCTCTCCCAAATACTGATTAAGATTTATAGCCTGTTTGGCCAAGCTTCTCCAAAGCCAAAAGCATTTTTTTTTTCTTTAAAAAAAGGTGTTCTTTTTCAAAGTTGAAGTGTTTGGCCAAGCTTTTTGAAGGAAAAAAAAGCGCTTTTGAGTAAAAGCAGAAGCAGCTTTGGAGAAGCAAAAAAAAGTAGCTTCTCTCCAAAAGCTCTCTTTTGAAAAGCACTTTTGAGAAAAATACACTTAAAAGCAATTTTTAAAAGCTTGGCCAAACACTAATTGCTGCTGAGAAGTGTTTTTCAAATTAATTAACCAAACACAAACTACTTCTCACCAAAAGTACTTTTGAGAAAAAACACTTCTCAAAATAAGCTGATTTTTGCAGCTTGGCCAAACAGGCTATTATAGTGAGAGTGTTGTCTTATAAAATGGGACTGAGGGGAGTACCTATTATTGTAAGTTGAAATCTCTTTTAGCAAGAGAACATAGACAAATCCCACTTGTTCCTTCACTGCGAAAGACATTGTTTTCTTTATTGTCTGGTGTTTGGCTATGCCAATTCTTTGGTATAAGTAAGATTCCATGTGGATGAGAACCGCTCTAGTTGTCATTTCTTTTGCAAGTCATCCATAACCGTAAATTTACAGAAACATATTAAAAATATATTTCAGATGTCAGGACTGTGTTATACTCATTGCATGATTCTGAATCCTTAATGCATCTTTTACGGGTTGAAAATCTTCATTCTGCATTGAATTCAACGTGAGAAACGGGAAAAGACGGGTGAAAGGACAAAATGATGATTTGTTAATCAGGCAAATGGTTATAGGTCTAGCATGAAATGCACAAGTCTAAGCCTTTTCTGAAGCCTATTATTAGCTCCAAGTCTTTTTAGTATAGTGACACTAACCACTTAATATCAGGTTTCAAGAGCACTTTGTAAAGCCATATCTTTCATAAGTAATCTTAAGTCAAGATGACAAAAAGTGTTTTCCATATCCTATGGCAGATATAGAAGGAAGAGAGAGAAACTGGTGGAGCTAGCTGCTGCGGCACCAATACCAACAATGTGGGGACCTTTTAAAGCCTACTGTTTTAAGTCTGTCTTGGATGGTATTGAGCATATCGCCATGGTCAAAGTAAGCAAAGTTGTGATCAGACCGCTGAATAAACTTCCTTTCATTTTGTTACATTGCTTTACAAGCATTTACAAGTAGTTGTAACTTGTATCATCCCCCCTTGCTTCTATCAAAAGAACCAACAAGGGGGAAAGCAAATTCAGAAGTAGGGAGATCAAAGACCACACTAACACTAGCAATATGAACTGACCATGATCTCAAATTTTCTCTAATTCGTGTGCCTTCTCCATTTATTGGACTACAACAACAATCCAGTGGGATCCCACAAGTGGGGTCTGGGGAGGATAATGTGTACGCAGACCTTATCCCTGCCCTCCAGGGCAGAGAGGCTGATTGGTAAAGGCCCTCGGCTAATCTCGAAAAAAGAAAAAGAAACTGTAATGCTGTCAATACATGATATATTTGCATAGGGTGTATCTTTCTGATTAATCTTGACAAGGTTCATGATTTGGATAGGGTGATATCGGGGATGGTAAAGATGTTCTTGTCAGAGTGCACTCAGAATGTCTCACCGGCGACATATTTGGGTCAGCGAGATGCGACTGTGGTAAGCAGTTGGCACTTGCAATGAAGCAAATTGAGCAAGCTGGAAGAGGCGTGTTGGTATATCTCCGTGGACATGAAGGACGGGGAATAGGTTTGGGGCATAAACTTCGTGCTTACAATCTTCAAGATGATGGGCACGACACGGTTGAAGCTAATGAAGAGTTGGGATTACCTGTTGATTCTCGGGAGTATGGCATTGGTGCACAGGTATTGACTGAAAGAAAGTTATCTTCTTTTTATTATGAAATAAAAATATAAAATTTGTTGGCTAGTAGTAAAAGAATTGCAATTTTCTTGGGGCACATGTTAATAGCAACTTCTCCGGTTTATGCTGTTTTGTTAACTTCGATGCTTGAACGTCAATGTATTGATTTCAGATACTTCGAGATTTGGGTGTTCGTACAATGAAACTGATGACAAACAACCCTGCGAAGTATGTTGGGCTCAAAGGATATGGTCTGGCAATTGCAGGTAGAGTTCCGTTGTTGGCGCCTATAACTACAGAAAATAGAAAATACTTAGAGACCAAACGTGTGAAATTGGGGCACGTATATGGTTCCGATGGCAATGGCCACATCAATGGTTCAGAAGTTGGTAGAGCGAGCAGCGATGAATTATCTGACAATGCTGCCTAAGAATCATCTGAACATCCTCAGCAAAGGCATATATTGGAACTGAAGAAGGTTGATCTTTAGCTGATCTGATTTGGGATTCAATTCTTTGACTTACATTTCTGGTAGCTGTTTCCAACATTTTTCGTTTAGCCCTGTTAGTTAATGTACTACTTTTCTTTTTCTCTTGTAAAAGATTTGAAAGAAAAGGTGATTACAAAAGCTTTTAAGTAACTTTTGTGTAAGATAAAGTTGATTATTACTTGTTTGGGACAAAGGCTGTCACGACCCAAAATTCACTAATTGTGATGGTACCTAACCCAACCCGCTACGCAAGCCAACCAACAATCAGCACAATCCAAATGAGATTTGTAAGAAAACAGGAAAGAATTATCTGAACTTTTATACAATAACCCAAGGACTGATAATACAAATCATAAGCTTCTAAAATTTAGAATTTACAAAAGCTGATACGAAATAAATACATCATTTGTTCGAAATATATATAAATAGATTTACAAAATCTAAAGTTACGAAGGACAAATGACAGCTATGACTGGAACGCAAATACATTTTCGATGCCAGCTCTCGCCATACACAGCAACTCCAGCCCCAAAATTTGCACGCAAGGTGTAAAAGTGTAGTATGAGTACAACTGACCTCATGTACCCAATAAGTATATTGTCTAACATTGGTGAAGAAGTGACGAGGCTTTTTAGTTAAAAGATACACACTGTTATAATCTACTCAATTAAACTTACACAAAAACAATACAAGCAATACAGGGGAGAGTACAAGAACAGATATACAAAGCAATAGATGATACTAAAAGAAATCACAGTCAGTTTCCTCCATGTCACAACTAATCCTCTTCTTAAAGCAATAACCACCAAACGAAATAGTAAAATCCACAAACTTTCATAGTCTGAGGAAGGTACTCAAAATATCAAATCAAATAGCACGACAACACCCTTTGTGCATTTATCACATCCTCACAGGATATATAGATGTATTTCAAATCAAATGACACAACAACACCCTTCGTGCATTCATCTCATTTTTACCAAGCATAAACATAACAATACCAACCAGGTGAAAGAAATGCCAATAACGGTAACAAAAAGGTAGAAAAAAACACAGGTAGTAGTACAAAATGAGGCACATTGTATGGGCAATGGTAACAATTTAAGTAGGAGGCACAAAAGTGATGATAGAAAGTAAGATAGGAAAATATAAATTTTACCGACTAACATGGTAGAAGGCTTATACGAAAGTGCAACAAATGAGAAACGACCTAGACGTAGATATAACAAAGAAGAAAGAAATCATGATATTTACAGGTTAAAGATATAGAAGGCATGGATAACACAACGACAATTAAAATAGAGGACAAAAGCAGAACAACAATGACAAGTTACGTAGAAAATATAGGTGCAATAGTAATAACTCAAGATAAAGGCATAAATGTATACGCAAGGAAAAGATAGCACAATATAATGCATGTCTCTTGTCCTCGCCTGCACGGAAACACCCTTCGTTCCATGAACACATGATAATATAAAATAATGGCACGACATCACCTTTCGTGCTTTTACTCTCATCCTCGCATGATAATGAAAATAAAATGGCACGACATCACCCTTCGTGCTTTACTCACATGAAACGACATCCCTTCGTGCTTTACTCACATGGCTCGTCATCACCCCTCTTGATTTACACTCTTCCTCGTCAAGAACATGTATATCAATAACAAGCAATATAGGAAGCATGAATAATATCAAGGAGAGTGATTAAGTGAATATTCTAAACGAACATCAATCACATGTTTCAAGCCAATAACAATTAAACAAACCTCAAGATCCTTATTGTTCAAGTATCTCCACAAATCTCACAAATGATCTTCAACTCAAGTATATAATCCAATATCTCAAGAATACCGGTTGTAGCAATGTATTTACGTTAAGTATAATGACAATCGAATTTAGCACATCAGTAATTTTACAAAAGTCTATCAAATTTAATGAAGTTATAATAAGCTAAATCATGGTTCCTAGCATTTAATCTTCATATTCACCTTAATCTAGAAGCCAAGTAAAACATAAGGTAAGAAGGTCACATAATCCTACAAGTCACAATTAATCGTATAATCTACCCCAAGCATGATTAACCCTGGCACATGCATATACGCTCGTCACCTCATATATACATCACCCCCGCATGTAGCAAACAATATCAATTAGTAGGAAAAATTACTCCAACAAAGTTACGCAAGACACTTACCTCAAACAAGCCTAAATCAATACATTAGAAGCGTCATCCCGCTCCAATCGACCTCCGAACTACTCGAAACTAGCCAAAAGCAACTCAAAACCATCAAATAATGCCATAGGAAGCAAACCCAAACGATAAAGGTTGAATCTTTACACATTTACTCAAAGTCAACCAAAAAGTCAAACCCGAGATTGCACCTCGGAACCCGATAAAACTCACAAAATCTGACAACCCATTCAATTACGAGTCCAGCCATACAAATTTCACTCAAATCTGACTCAGAATACATGTTCAAAACTCAAAAAGTCACTTTAGAAAAATTTAAACAAAAATCCCCCAATTTCTCTTTCAAAATCATCAATCAAATGTCAAAACCGAAGATAGAATCATAAAATATAATCAAATCCAAATGGAAAACATTTACCCAACCATGTGGTGAAAATTGCCTCCAAAATCGCCCAAATGTGAGCCCCCAACTCAAAATGTGATAAAATAACTCAAAGGTCCGAAATAAAGTATTTATGTGCACTACCCTGTGGTACTCTAGGCAATCGCGATGCACAATTATTATGCTACCACAATTAACTCTACGCATTCGCGGCAATACCCTCGTGAACACAATGAAGCACATTGACAGACCTCCACGAACGCGGACAAACCATCGCTAAGGCGATGAAGAACCCATCAAGACTGACCAGCCTCGCTCAACACTACGCGAACGCGTGGTCATGATCGCGAACGCGAAGACTTAAAGCCTCAAAAAGTGCAAACGCGGTACTGAGCGCGAACGTGAAGAGAAAACATCAAATTACCCCACATTGCACTACGTGATCGCGTCTCAATCTTTGCAGTCGCGAAGAAGACTAGAACCAACAGAAACCAGCATAACTAACATGGCCCAAAATGGTCCGAAACCCATCCAAAACTCAACCGAGGCCTTTGAGACCCCATTCGAACATACCAACAAGTCTCATAACATAACATAGATAATGCTGTATTCTGGCCCGGGCCCGGGCCTTAGTGGGCCTAACGGGCCGGGCTCGTGGGCTTTGCGGGCCTAGCGGGCTTTTTTTTAAGGCAATTTCTTGTAGTATCATGGCTATATTAAAAATATATATGTAGTATATATGTAGATCTAATTATTAAAGTGCTTGAC